TCAACAACTCAGTAAAGTGGGTACAATTATTACCTTCATTGTACAGGTAAGGAAACCGAAGCACAGAGAGGTTAAGTGACTTGCCCAGTGTCACACAGACTAATGGTGTCAGAGTTAAGATTTTTAAAAAGAATAGGCAAATGCATTGTCCTAGTATCAGCATTTCAGGAGCTTAATTTCTATTCTGAGGGTAATGTGGGCAAAGCAAAGAACTGAAACCTATTCCCTCTCCCCTTTTAATTAGGCCTCGAGAAGGAATTCCTGGGGCATCTAAAAATTCAAAAAATTTAAGCCTTTATGCACAAGTGGCTTTGAAGTCTGCTTGGAGGAGCCTTGCCTTTTGCTGGTGACAGGTTCTGGCCTCAGGTAGGATACAAACAACTTCAAAAAAGAGCACCTGCCCCCATTCTTTCTTCTGTGCAGGTGAGAACCGGGCTTCACTGGTGAAAGTTTAAATGCCCTGGTTTCTTCTGGCCCCCGCGAACTGCTAATGTTGTGTTTTTCACACACATTCAGATGGTGAGTGAAGCTGTGAAGTCCTGACTGAGTAAGCCGACTCTGACGGCGAGGGCTTGCACCCAGCAGGGATCTTCTCATCTCTGCGTCCACTCTCCCCACCCCCCAGCGCTGCCCGCGGCTCACGTGCTTCTCCAGGTAGCGACAAGTGGGGGCGGGGGCGGGGGCGGGGGGGGGCGGGCAGAGACTGGGATGCACTCTACACCCTTAGGGCTTTACTTCATCAGAGAGGTTTGTTCAGGGCCTCAGATGCACGCAGAGCTGCCACGTGTAATGCCATTTCTGCAAGCCAGGAAATGGAAACTAATTTAAATCACACAGTTGGGACTCAGTCAAGCTGGACTCCAAATTCCAAGCTAGCTCTGTCTCCCACTCCCTCTCTTTCCCCCTTCTCCCTTCCTTCTTTCCTTCCTTCCTTCCTCCTTCCCTCCCTCCTTCCTTCCCTTTGTTTTCTCTTCAACGACATACTATCTTTGATCAATGAAAGAATATATCATTGTGAAACCCATACGAGGGGGATTATTTACATTTTCCATTTATTATCTCAAAATACACTTCCACAATCTCAACGTGCCTCTAAAAAGGGAATTAATCATTGCAGCAGGGCCTAGAGAACAAAACGTGAGTTTTCTAGGACAATGTTTTCCGTTTCTGCTGGGTCCTGTTAACCCCAGTTAAGCCACCTGGGAGGTATTTAAATGATTCTTTTGTCGATGCTTTTCGGCAGGTGTGATAGATACTTTTGATGGATCAGGAACTTTCTGCCTGTGGTTAACCAACAAATTCAACCTAACATTGAAGATAGGTGGGGATAGGTTATGGTCAGTTTTCTTTTTTTATTTACATTTTGACTTTCAGGAGGTTGGGACAAATGTGACAAACAGAGTTACTGATGCTAAAAACACCATCACAGTGCAGACAGTGGGCAGCGTGGGCTCCTGCCCTGGGCCTGGGCCTTCCAGGACCCTGGGGATCACTAACCTATAAAAATAAATGTACTAAGGGGCACGTGGTCACGTCTGTCACTAGGCATCTGGTGCTCAGTGTTGAGAGACCATAAACCATAACCCTAAACATCCAATCTCAAAACCAGCTCTGTGCTGGCTTCAGAGAAACGCTTCACCCTGACTTTTGTCCCCTGGCCTTGGAAGGGCACTGTGAAGATTTCCAGGGTGTGCTGCCACTGACATGCACATGGACACACCAAGGTGTGCGGATAATGTCACGGCAGAAGCACTTCGTTAAAAGTCCAATCAATTAAAAATCAAATCCTTGCTTTCAGGTAGCAGGAATAGAAAACAGTCTTAAATGTGAATGAGTGGGGTTTCCTCGTAATGCCAACCACCAATTTTCTTGCTTCGCTTTGGGTTCCAAGTCTGTAAGAAGTCACACACTAGTGTAGTATTTGCATGTGTTAAACTTGGTGATTGAGGAACATCTTTCAAAATGAAATGATTAATATTACTGTTAAAATGGTAGATATGTAGTTATACGTGAAACAGGATACTGATTCTTTACATTGACAACTAGGTGGACATAGAATGCTCACATGGCTAATAGGTTTCTGTTTATTCAAAATTCATCATGTATCACTGAATTTAAAATATTAAAGAAAATGTTAAGCTTTTTATGAATCTTTTTTTTTTTTGGGGGGGGTACGCGGGCTTCTCACTGTTGTGGCCTCTCCCGTTGCAGAGCACAGGCTCAGCAGCCATGGCTCACAGGCCCAGCCGCTCCGCG